ATCATTGTGGGAAAATTCTACTACCAGTCCTTCATCATCTTAAATGAAATAGAGTGAATACATCTCATATAAGATACACATAAACGTATGCGCTCGATTAAATAAACAGGCTTGTGGATACCTGCGGATGCAGCTGAAGCCTTGACTCCAGCTCTGGCCGAAGCAGCAGGGGCTCTTGAAGCTGGTGTCTCTTTTGCAAGGCCTCCAAGGGGCGCAGCTCGCCGCCCAACAGAGGGACCTCCTTGGGGTCCTATAGCCCGAGGTCCTGCTACATTGCCACCGACTCCACTAACGCCGTTTCCCCCGCCCCCACCGCCAATGTTGTAAGGTCGTAAATTCGGAGCTGCAAGGGGAGAGTTAACTTGAACTCCTGCAATTTGGCCACCGAGGAGAGGTCGCGGAGTAGGTGGCAGCCAAACATCAGGATCACGTGTAGGCAGCTCATCGCGGATGTATCGTGGAGTAGGGTACTGCGAGGTCGGCACTTCGTCATCAAAAATTTTGAAACTAGCTAGAATTCTGTTTATTTCCTTAACAGCTTCATATTCTTGTATCAATGCTTGCCTCACCTAAAAAGTAGTGCAAATAATTACTGTGAAAATATTTGCTACAAAAGCTTACTATCACCTGCTATGCTTGAGTGAGAAGCATCTTAAAGGACATATAAAATCAATATAAATAGGTCAGATTATTATATCATAATCATATGATAGTATATACAATATAAATTGACTCTATGCTAAGTATGGCGACTTTCGAGGACGATGCTAGTGAAACGTCTAAGAATATACTAGGGCAAGAGTAAGAACATATAAATTATCACGAATACTATGGCAGAAGAGGAGTTACTAAATAGGTTGCACAAGTTCTCCTTGCTGCTCAAGCCAAAACTATATAGCTAAAGGAGACTGTGGCCAAACCTAGTCACATCATTTTGATCTTCCTATCTGCATAATAGTATGATTTGATATTTATTTCCTAAAAAATAATTGATACATGAAATAATAAAATCTGTATTGTGGGCCAACGAGATGATCTCAACCACTTTATTTTAGGCAATCAAAATGCACTAAGTGGAATATATTAAAACCATATATAAATTTCAAGAATCGATTTTCACGACGATGTGTTTTGAAGTTGGCCGGAGTGAAAAGAGGACCTTATAGAAAATACCTAGTTCTGAGTCCTCGAATCGTTGACTTGATTCATTCCCATACGTTTCATGGGCATCTTTATTGAGAAGAGCCATCCTCAGAATTGAGTCAAGAATAAATGAATATGATAAACTTGACTAATTTTCTGGTTAATTATAAAATCTTTCATTCCCCCTGCTCTAGCTTTGTACTCTCATCCCACAATTC